TCATGGAGCCGGCTTGCCATAGTTCTTGTCAAACCAGTGTGGCTTGACTGGTCCAGCCTTTCGATATTTGAGGGGCACAAATCGGGCGCACAATGATTTTACTCCTTTTTTATGATAGACCAACAAGCTTCAACTGATGAATCCTGTGGTAGCGACCAGTCCATCATGCTGGAGGATCGAGTGAGGAAATTAAAGTCTGCCTTCAAGTAGTTGAAAACTGGCTCTAGCGGAGGAATAAACGGCAGTGGCAGCTCTAAGCTCGCCATGACCAGAGGCTCTAGGACTTGAACATCATGCACATATTGATCGCAGCTGGCCAGCAACAGGTCCAGACACGATGCAGTTGAGCGCGTAATAACGCGCATCGGCTGATTGATGTTCTGTATGGCCTCTGCTTCAAACATCATCTCCGCAAACTTCGTCTCGACTTCGTGGTGACCTGGGAAAAACTCGACCTATGGACACCGTATTCGAGGAAGGTTGAAATCCCCCATGAACATGAATTGCGGACGACTCATGTGGTTGCGCACATGGGACAACCAATCCAAGCTACGGCCCAGTGAACTGCGACACGTAACACCCACGGGGAGTTCACCGCGTATCAGGTGGATAGAACACCATAGGTGCTCACACAAGCCATCACCGCTTCTGTGGATGAGCACGAGCCTCCCGCACAAGGAAGACCGTATGTATAGCAGTATTCCACCGCGGTCATTTGATAGCCTATTACAGCCAAAGCAGGAATACCCACTGATTTCGATTTCTTGGGCGGTTATCTCTGAATTTAACCAAGTTTCAGCTAAGCCCAATACGTCTGGTTGCCGAGAGGCAACGAAGTGGCAAACGTCGTCACGTTTGTTCATTGGACTAAAAACATCCGTAAAAGCTACACGCAGGCGCGGTAGGAACCGTCGGGCGTGCGTGAACGTTAGCGATCTGTTCATCCGGATTTGGGGAGGAATCCGAGTAACTAGTTGAAAATTTATAATGCGGAGATTTGTTTCTGTGATGTGGCTGAAAGCTGGGGCGAAGGGACTCGTCTGTCTCAGTGCGGTCGATCAGGTGACCGATCGAGTGGAGGAGTGAATTTTTAAACTCGCAGATAATTGTACATTGCCTCAGACTGGGGAATAGTGTGTTTGTGTGCAGAGCCGGTGCGAGTTCTTTCTGTTGACGCGGCTGGGTGAACCAGGCACACAACATGGTGACAGAGGAAAAGAAGAACCCGATGAGCAATCAGCAGCTTTGCTTTGGCTGGCAGCCGTTTGTAGCGATGCCGACTCCATTACAGATGACGGAGGGTTCGCTGCCCGAAAACTGGCGCCTGTGGAGAGCGAAGTGGATGAACTTCGCGACACTGATCGAGTTGGATGAATATCCTATGCCGTATCAGTTAGCCATGTTCAGGTACGCCATCGGCCATGATGCGATGCGGATACTAGACGCCTGGAATTTCTGCGATCACGACAAAGAACCGGATCTTTCAGAAACGCTCGAGAGATTTGGTGATTATTGTGAAGGCCGGTTAAACCAATTCGCCTGTTGCTGTCGATCGACCAACGTTAGGTCACTAGATAGTGTAAATCCGCAAGAAGCGCAAAAGATTTCAGTAAATAACAATTGGGATCATTACGAGGAGGGATGCGGTAATGCAAAACTGGCGATTCAAGGACAACTGGTTCAACCGCAAGCTGATACTGGAGCCACCGCACATTTGCAACCCGAAAATTTCCACTAATCCTCTGCAAGTCCGTCTTCGAAAGCTTTCACGGCGGCTAAAGACGCGTCACAAACCCGAACCAAGACAGCCTTATACTCTAGCGCCTGGAAATAAACAGATAACTAGAGTTGAAGGGTGTCGGGAAGAAAGACTATCTGAGGGTCGGAAAAGAAAGGGAAGCCATCAAATGCGGCTGAAAAGACGATATGGTGAACAGGATCTGCACTCGGACGAGAAGCCGCATCAGCCGAATAAGTCAACTCAGATCGCAGCCAAAGTTCGAAAGCTCTGTCGCAGTGGAAGGCAATACGGGACCTATAACACCCAAACAACGAAAATAAGAAAAAGGAAACGATGTGATGTGGCTGAAAGCTGGGGCGAGGGGACTCGCCTGTCTCAGTGTGGTCGATCGAGTGGACGAGTGCGTTTTTAAACACCCAGCTAGTTGTGCTTTGCCTCAGAGTTGGGAATAGAGCGTTTGTGTGCAGAGCCGGTGCGAGTTCTCTCTGCTGACGCGGCTTGGTGAACCAGGCACACAACAGTTTCCCCGCCTTCAGTGCGTCGCTTTGGGTCAATCATTGCAGATTGGAGTGTTTTGGTCTGCTAGACCCAGGTCTGCGCGCACATGAATCTTCAAACTCTTAAGTCTACCGAGGCGCGATAGTATAAATCTCGGACCAGCTTCGTCAGCAAATGTGACCTTCATGGGTCAAACTTTTCCTCAGTTTTCTTTCCCAACCGGGAAATTTGCATCTCTTCCAGCCCGTCTTCACCGACGTCGAGCAGTCTATCAACCAGACTCTGCAGAAACTCGACGTCGTGTTCATAGCGAACCTGAGGGTTCGAATCCGACGATTCAGGTGCGTGGAAGACCATCAAACTGCGACACCTCAGATCGCTGGAAGTGGTTTCCAGGTTCTTTGGCTTTTGCGTTTGCCAGAGTTCATCACTACCTTGCTTGTCACACATTCGAGTTGCAGTGTCCGTCGACGGAGCAACAGGTGGTAAAGAGGGGCTACTCGGCAACCTAGGAATTCGTTCGACAGAGCTGGTGTTAGGCGTGCAAGGTGCTTGTATCTGTGCCTTCTGCGCAGAACTTACAGAACTGCGGGTCTTGGAACGCCCCACTTTACCAGTCCGTTGAGTAAATTTCCCAGGGGGCTTGGGCTGCAGTTTACACTGGCACTCCTTACATATAATCTTGACAAAATCGTGTTAAATCTCGCGGATAACGCGAAACTGGTCCACAGAAAGACAAATACACGAAATGTGGAACTTCACCTGGCAAACGCGACATGACGCATGACACCTGAGTGTCTACCGCGTCGCGCTCTATTCGTTCGTCAAGGACCTGGCTGGAGGCTACCGCGTGGTGGTCAGCCTTCCACTTCGCGACAGCACATGAAATCGCTGATGTCGTGTCTAGCCGCTGTTGGACCCGTAGGTCCTCCAAGATGGGGATCCCAAGATGAGGAGTGTCAATGGCTTAAAACTCTTGAAAACATGACCCACAACCGGAATCATTGGAAGAATTGTAGTGATTCACATGTTTAATAGTTCAAACATTGAAAATGACAAAGAGAAAAAAGCGGCGTGTGAACAGCAAACTAAAATGTTTTATTTTACTTTTGTCAAAGTGTTCCTTTCTTCCTGCGGCATAGCAGCTGAAGTGTGTTGCTTACCTTCAACTATTATGCCACGATGATTATGACGCGGTGACTTCCCCTTATCTGCTAATCTCCATGACTTTGTTGGCTCTATGTCTAGTTGCTAGACTGTTGAGAGTACATACAAACGCCACATTTGCACGATGATCAACAATCTTAGAACAACTTGTGCAGGGAGATTGCTTCACCAGTTTTAATTGATCAGCGATCGATAAGACAGAATAAGATTATGTGATAAAGGGGAGGAGACACGGAGACGACACCTATTAATGATAAATAGATTTGGAATCACAATGAATTACACAAAAGGAGACAGATAAACATGACTTTAATAAGGTAAACAATGAGGACAATAAACCTAAAGGTAGCAGCGAGAGACAAGGTAGTATAGAAGGAGAAATACTGCCGAGAACGGACAAAAATATGTTATTGGATAATTCAGAATCACAAAGGATGCTGAATTAGACAATTGAAGACAAAAAAGTACAATATGACACAGAAAAACGGAATAAACTGGCCTAGGAACAGAGTGATTTATTTCGAACCGGCCGCGATGAAACTGTTCTCCGCACTGACAAATGTCTGTGGTAAACACCTCCCCCAAGGTCTTAAGCGACCACAATTTGCCCAGTTCGTCCAGTTAATTATCTTGGTGTACATTTATCGTACAATCTATCTTGGTCAACACATGTTGACGAAACGTTCCGCAAGATGTAGAAATTATCATTATATACCCTCAAACTCAGAATGCTTTTTTAGTACCCTACTCTTGACATTACAAATTCGTGACTGTCTATATTCTTCCCTATTGGTTAAATTGCTCGCCTCTCATTTTTCCTGGTCTTCTGCAAAAAGACTTCCCATTAATTGTGTGCTGCATTAAGCTTATTTCCAAGAGTAGTGGGTTGTCCAGAGAGTTTCTGATTGACTTCATTATTACTAAGCACCTTTGTGACAATTTTCAGCAAATGTTTTAAATGACCCTTTTCACCCCATTCACGCTGATTTATCTAAAGCCCTCTCCTGCTCGTCTATTCGCTCTAAAGTTAGAGTACTGCTGTTATCACAGGCAACAAGTTGTCACAAATCTATTTTACGGCATTTATCTTGTGGACTCCAAGAAACTAATCAGTACTACGCGTGAACGCTTACTTGAGTGATGTGCATGCAGGTTTTCTTCTTTTTACGCTTGTATTGCAATTCCATGCTGACGTTATGCTTCCCTAGATCCGCAGTGCTAGTGTAAAAAATGTTGAAAATGTTCCCAGTCGGGTTCATAAAACCTATTTTGACTGGATAGTGAACGGACAAATGACGGCAGTGCGAAGCTCACACAACTATTCAAAACCAGCGAGTGGATAATATCCTTGGGAAGGCAGCGTTACAGTGCAGCGGTAGTGTGTTCTAAGAACTGTTGTAGCGAATGGAGCAAAATCTGACAGAAAAGAGATGGGGAATAGGTGCTGGTGTCATGAATGAGAAATAGCTTTTCTTGCCACGATTTGGATCCTCGTGCGATGGCTAGCCACTGTGGACCTCGGAGGAGTTATAATGCAAAACACTCTCAACAACGAAAAATGGCTTAGCCCAACATCGGAGCAGACATAACTTACCGATCGTCGGAGGTCCGAACAAGTTAGCTACTCCTTGGCAGAAGAAGCATATGCCCAAAGCATTGGTTAGGTGGTGAAGACCAACAAAACTAACCAGTAGTATGGTGCACAGCGAATCATTGGCTGCCAAACCCATGCCAAATATGCCTGAGAGACGATAGGGAAAAAGAGGTGAAAGCCATCTACAGAATGGTACCTGTCAGGGGGAAGACGCATATGAAATGGTGTAAACAGAGTGATGTAATCATGCAGGTCTAAGAAAAGTGCTTGCGTATAACAATGGGTAATACAGTAACACTGTCACGTGAGAGTTGATAAGTGAGCTTCTACAGTGGATCAAATAGGCGGCCACACAGAATTATGTGAGTTTTCGGCTGATATGGATATAGAGTGATTGCAGCGTGATCGTTGCACAGACAACCGAATGTACTTTAGCCATAGCCGTGAAGATACCAACGCAGAACATTCAAGAACTACGCTAAGGGTGGGCGGGCAATGGGATGATTAGGGCATCAGCAGTACGCCGGTACGCAGTGCAGACGCTTCGCTGCCGTGCAACCACTAGTGGTCGCACGAGGGCTAAGGATCCTGCGAGCGTCACCCTTACCCCTACACAGGCTCAAACCCGCGCCGTCAGATTACAAGACAAAATGACTACATTTAGGCTACGGACTGGCGATGAATAGAAGGCGTTATCAGTCACGCGAATGCCCGAATTGGGACTGTTGCAGCGGTACTGCCGATGGTGATTACACAAGGGCAAATACCAAACACAGTCGTTGTTTTGAAACGCACTGGTCGAGTGTACATGGGACCGAAATATGCCGAACGATAGAAACGAAAAGCAGTGATTTGGCTGGGGATATGCACCGTAAAAATCCCGTTTCACAGCAGAAGCGGTTGGGTCGACGGATTTTCCGGTGAGGTTCGGTTTCGGAAAACGGGTAAAAACGAAGCGAGTGGCAGGCTGTCAATTTAACCGAAACTCGGCTACATGTAAGGAATTACCCTGGACAGTTCTATTGGTAAATCATTCGTGTTCCAGAATGTTCTTTTAAGAACGTTCGCAGTTGGAAAGCAAAACAACCTGCAGGGCTCGTTGGGGCACGCAAGTGTTATGACGCCAATTACAAGTGGCACCTTGGTGTGCTGCAGCTAGAAAAAGCACGCGTTCAGAAGTATTTTCTTGTTGACCATTCGAAGAAAGTAAACCTTCCGATGCGAGACCCATGATACAGCTCCTATTCAGCTAGTGATGAAGATTCTGGTACGGTAAGAGCGGTCGTGATTTCACATGCGCGTAGAAAAACGGGTAAAACCTTAAGAAACCATTGCAGAGCATTTCACAAAGCCACTATGTCGGTGGGGTGGTAACTTGTAAGTTAGTTGAATGTGCACGTATCGGACTACTGCCAGAATAGAATTAATGACGAGCAATCTCCACCGGGTACCCATAAACATCATGAGAAGCAAAAGAAAGTAAATTGGTACCCATCCGACTCCACTACAGCGAGCATCCCCTAGAACCAAGTGTGGCTTGAAGCCGCGATACAGCTAGTGTAAGTAGAGCGTGAAATGTTTGGAACATGGCAGATACCGGAAAGGGAGGTGACTGTGTGTGATCACGGAGATAGAGCAACCAACCCTTTACTCCTTTGCGTGTTAATGTCTTGGAGTAGACATCATGGTCCCTCTGTGCAACCACCTCCAACATACGGATGGCCAAGTAACCTCGGTAGTACAATTAGTTGGGCAGGATACGGTTAGAAGGTGGTGCATGGACAAACATGTTGGCATCACGATCGTCAGTAGAATCACTGCGAATACAATGACTAGTTAGTTTGGAATCCGTTTCAAGTTTGCATTGTCAAAATGAAAGAAAACTTTTAGTGCTACAAACCAGTGGAGTGTAGGTGTTGGGAAGAGCAACACCAAAACCAGATAAACTGCCTCATTCTGACTATTTTACCGGCGCTATTAGGCAGCTTCCATCACCGATGAAGGAAAGGGAGGCAGCATTCGACTATGGGTCGGTACACTTGATCTATAACGGACAACGTGTTGCAATCGTCGTACAATCACCGAAGAAATTTCAAATTCGGGCGAGCGTCGATGAACTGGTGCTGTCAAGTACGCTAAACAATTGATAATTCGTAAGTTATCCTGCTCAAATAAGTGTGGTTGCGAATAAGTGTCTCTGTTAATGAGCATGGAAACCACTGGGATCCAGTATAATTTTCCCACATAAGTGGCGTCACAAGAGTTTTGCATTTGCAGAAGTAGATTTCCGTTAGTTTGAATGGGGCGTTGATGGACTGTAGCCACCGGTCCCCGAATCAAGTGGACTATCGTGCGTGCAGGATAGACCGGAAACAGAATTTTGATACGAAATTACAAAGCGAAGGCATGCATGGTGCTTCCAGATAGCTACAATAGTATATAGTGATTTGCGTAGGTGCATTCTCCAGGTTATCAGCGTTGGTCCATTGCCCTATCGAACAAAGTGTGACAAGCGCTGGAGAAACCAGCCACTGATGTGGCGGCATAAGTATAAATGGATCACAATTGAGCAAAAAGACAATTGGTTCGCATGGGCTGAAAGGACGAGAGAGAAAAGACGAATCCATCGTCAATAGTGAGGATACTGCCCTTTAGTCGGATAGCCAGTAGAAGAAATGTTCAGTTCAGTTCATTGAAAATGATTCCAACATCGAAGGGCGAGGGATACCGCTGACACGACTGAATCTATTCATTCATTTAATATACACAAATAGCTAGATAGAAAAGATCTCAGCTATTGTGCTACAATACATAAAAAAGGAAAGACATCGGTAACGGATGGACATCGTTCCGCAAAAAGTTACATTATGCCTGGTAAACTAGACAGTGGTTAGTAAATGAGATCATCGCGTTACAGTGATAGAACAATATCTGAAAATGAGAAAACGAGCAAGGGAGCACGTAAACACATGAATATAACTTCAAAGTCATCGCATGGAGAATTCATCAGACAGAAGTAATAAACCCAATGCAACAGTGCCATGGATCACATGACCGAAGTGAAGTGGAAAGGGGCACTAACACAAGATACGGTAGAGTTTGGGATGCTAATGAAGAAAGGTAGCAAGCAATTTGTTGCATTATCGACCAGTCACAGTTGTATCATTAAAACAGATGCAGTAATGACAAAAGACACGCCGTGATGAAAACGCTGCGGGGATGCTAGGAGAATAAGACAAGTAAAGTAGACGTAGCAAGCCTGAAAAAGGATTCGATGTTGCAGCGGAGCGCCTAATGCCCGACCTCAATACACGAAATCCATGGTTCAGGGGTGCAAATAGATGCCAGAATGGATACAAAAGCACTGAAAGTTAAAGACAACCTAGTTCTTTAGGTCTTCAACGTGCAGAGGTCATGCCAGTGGTGCAAATTAAAAACGCAGAACAACCCAGACTTGACTGGTAGAATGACGGCCCGCCGTTTCCATTAGTGAATGTATACTGTACGGTGAACAAGTAGAAATTAAAATCTGTACAACTCCAGCGCATATAAACACGAATATTTAGTGTCTGTTTTATGTAGCAGTTTAAATTGTTTGACTTTTCCACTGGGCTCACAAATGTCAGTATCACTATTACACACGTGAGCCGAATGTGGAAAACACCTCACCTATTGTGCCGTAATACAAAAGACGAGAAGATAGAGGCACGCCGGCTGAGTCTCCAGCAACGGATGGACATCGTTTCGGAGAGCTAAACAGTTATCGTGCCGCAAAAAGAGAGTTATGTTATGCCTAACGAATGTGACCATGAGTAGAGGGGGAGGCTAAGTAGAAAGGGGATGGACAAATGAACTCACAATACAAACGCCATTGGGGCCTGCTCCTAGCCATATCAGCAAGTGTGTCCAACCAAACGTGTTCATCGTCCTTAGGACTCCAGCCATGCAGTCGGGATGCACCAACCGACACCAACTTTGAAGTGAGGGTTTTCATTTCCCTTGACCAAGTTATCGTTTGGCCTCCCTTCATTCTCTTCCAACCGCACCACCGACGCACAAACAATGCACGTCGCGGGAGTCCGTGTGCTGGCATGCGCAACACGTGGCCCAGCCATCTGAGCCTGGTGCGTGATATAAGAACTGAGAACTGAGAGAACTGTTGCGAAGCAGCGAGTAGAGGTTGCTCTGTGTAGCTGCATCATTCGTCGTTTTCGGACATGAACTTTTTATTTATCGTTTCGCTCTTTGTACTTTGCCTCTGCAAATTGTTTGTCTAGTAGCATCTTGAATTTTCCCACTGTGTTCGCTTCTACTATATGCTGAGGCAGGTCGTTCCAGACATTCACCACTCTGCGTTCGAAACAGAGTTGATGGGCGACCCGCTTCAAATCCGGGACGATAAGTTTATACCGGTGTCCTCGCGTGCAGCTTGGTGTGCGCAGATGAAGTAGTTGTCTCAACATGGGGTAATCACCCAGATGTAATATCCGGTGCGTCATGATGAGGTCAACCCTCAGCCGACGATAAGATAGGGTGTATAAGCCTAGTTTCTTACATCGGTATAACCCTAGTTTCTTACATCGGTGCGGAGCGGTTCACTCGCTCTTTCTGCACCAAATACGCGATGCCAAACACGCTCATCGCTCACGCGGTGCTCCCACTAGACATAAGCCAAGCTGGGGAGGAAGCCATGATCGAAGGTGGCGAGCCTGTTTATGTCTGTCGACCAGTTGGGTCAGGTTTCACAACCGTATAAGAGGGTTGAACGGACGGTTGTATTATAAACTCTGCCCTTCAGCGCGAGAGTGATGTCGCGTGTGTGCCACAGGTGGTGAAATTTGGCAAAAGCACCTCCAGCTTTTGCTTTACGGTTCGTAACCTCATCTTCGATCCCACGGGTGCTAATATAGCTGCCCAGGTACTTGAATTCCTGAACGACTTCTAGCTGATCACCACCAAGGGTGAGTGCAGGGGTGGGTCCCTGCCAACCGTTGAGAACTTTGCATTTCGAAGGTGCAAAGCATAGCTCGAAACGATTGACAGCCAGTGCTAATCGGTCCAGAGTAGCCTGGCACGTTTGGGTGCTTTCACATATGGGGACAATATTGTCCGCATACTCCAAGTCAAGAAGTCGCTCACCAAGAAGT